ATCATTATTATCATTATTATCATTATTATCATTATTCTTATTATCATTATTATTGATAAGAAGTCCCCCTCCACGAACAACTTTAAGTGGATTTAAACACCGTTCTCTCGAATGCGTGGAGCCCTGTTAAAATAAGATGTTGAATGATGTGGAGGGGGGACTTTTAGATTTAGATTATCGATTTATCGATATAAATAATTACTTGTTCCTAATATTTTACACCACGTATTCGGAACTTAAAGATCTATGTATTAGGGTAGAAATTGAAGAGAGTCGAACTCTTGACTAAGTAGTTAACAGCTACTTGCTCTACCACTGAGCTACAACTTCATGGTTTCACATCCCATATTATGCCATAGATAGGTTTTATTATATGGGATTATGTTGTATTGTATTTGATTATATTATATTTTTATATTATGTTCTTATATTATATATATTATATTTGATTCTATTATATTTATACTATATTGGATTATATTTTAATACACCTTGTACGTGGTGCCAAAATTAAATATATATATTTAATATTTAATATTTAATGGTATAACTCCAAGGGGGGTATTTTATTAATCTGAATGTGATTGAACTGGTAGCATATTGTAAGCATGGAATGGTGTAGGACTATCAAGTGTTCACTCCAGAGAAGCTTCAAGTGTATGAACTTCAGGTGAAAGATAAAGTCCATAGAAGAAAGCAGGATATGCTCAGTGATTTGATTCAACTGTTCGACCATTGACCATTATGTCATAAACAACTACTCCAAAAACAATAGTTGCAATAACACTAATGAGTGAACCTAGACTACTAATTAGATTTCAACCTGCGTATGCATCCGGATAATCAGGAATACGACGTGGCATACCTGCCAGTCCTAGAAAATGTTGAGGCATGAAAGTAATATTTACACCGATAAACATTACCCAGAAATGAAGTCTACCTAGAGATTCACTATAAGTTAGCCCTATAATCTTAGGTACTCAGTAATAAAATCCGGCTAGAATTCCAAATACTGCTCCCATACTTAGAACATAATGGAAATGAGCGACGACATAGTACGTCAGTTATGCGTTAAGTTTATAGTACTACTTATAGGCTGCTATCTTTACAGATAGGATCGGACCATATATTACAAAGAAGGTTAACGAATCAATCCTTTTTTGCTGTCACGTGTGGCCTCTACAGAGTCCATATATATTCAACAAATTCAGCTTCAACAGCTTATACCAACAAACCGGGAGTACTAACCACCCACTTATAACCAACCCGAGGGTTATAAGTTTATTGTCGCGGTGGTAGGGTCCAACGGTTCGTATTTGAAGCTGAATAGAACCGCGACGGAAGTGCGGTTGTTGGGGGCTGAATTGAATGTTATTACTCATCCTACTCAAACTATACGGTTCCTACGGTATTATCTTATTCATTTTCCGTCCCGCCACCTCTCTACGAGAGTGTGTGTGGCAGGGACTTATATCTTAGGCGCTACTAAGATAGAATAAGACTCCACCGTTAGCATCAATCCTCTCATTTTACTCACACGTTCATTCTACCCATTTAATCCCATCCAACAACCGTCTCGACTTAACCAACCCAACACTCGATCCCACATTGTCGTGAGGGTTATAAGTTAGTTAATTGTCGATGGTTGTTGAATCAGGCGTAGGTGCGGTGGTTTGCACTCCCGGTTTTATCTTATAAAATCCGTGGGGTTTTATTGTGAGTAAAAGCCCCGCCGTCACACTGACTCTCGGAGAGAGTCTGTGTCGGCGTGGCCATTTAAATTGATACCGGGAGAAGAGCCTACTTCTCCCACAGTGACATGACAACACGACACATACTTATTGAAAGAACTCTCTCGATCGGTCTTTAAATACCTTACTCTTCTGTACAAATACTGCTACTTGATAGTATTTGTAACCTTGTAGCAGGTCTGTACAATGATCAATTACCCGTGCTACTCCTGCAGCACTCCCTACACTGAATTCATATAGCGGAAAACAGCTCACCTTCCCTGTCTTTTTGACAAGTTTAAGATGTTGTACCCCATAATAATGTTGAATCTGCTCAATGAGGTAACGATCATGGTTTTGAGCAATACTAAAACTATAATTTCCTGCTACGCGACTACTAAATGAACCTTCAGCTTCAATAAACCCTGCTAGTCATTCTTTAAAATAAAAAGGAACAAGTGGGGTATCTATTGACTCTCTTGCCTGATACTTTTTATCTCGTAGTGCAAAATAAAGTTCTAGATCTGGCTCAAATATAAATGTCTTGAAGAAGCTATACTGAAGTCGCATTCGACTGGTTAGAGGAGGGTAAAGATCTATAAGTGGTATAATACTCTGATGAAATGTTGTTCTACTGTTGACAATTCATTTAACATAAGCTGAATGTTTGCATATCCCTCGTCTTACATATCCACCATAGGCTTCCGCAACATTGCACAGCATTTCATAATTGAGAGGTTTGTCTGCAAGTTTAACAACCAGTCTAAATTGTAGAGATTTTATACGTCAGTGATTTACTTGCAGGCTCCCATCCCCGTCAATAAGACCCACTGTGAAAGGGCCCAGCTCACGTGGCGAGAGAGTTCTTGGTGATTTTAGAGTTTTACCTCCAACGATAAAACTCCTAGTCATACGACTATCGTGTAGCGCTACATCTAGACTAGCATTGGCCAGAATCACTCCTGTTAGACCACCAATAGTAAATAGAGCAATGAATCCCAGTGCCCATAGCATTGGAACAGTTATTCGGATTGAACCTCCGTAGGCAGTAGCTCAGGGTTGGGCCTTTAACCTTTTCAGGTAGAGCTGGCTTATTGTCTAGAGTTTGTACTTCACTCTTTTGAAGAAACTCACACCCGCCTTTATCTCTCAAAATAAAATAAAAGCTAGGGCCGTTACCGGTGACCTGGACTATTCCTTAGACTTTCATATTATCCAGTGAATTTACACCACACGCCGGGCGTGGTGTAAAATTAGTGAATAACTTAGAAAAGCCGGGGGCGTCTAGTCTCTACGCTTTTACATAAAAAGTTTCCTTTAAATGACTTAGTTCGACGATAGCCCTAATATTATTAGTACATTTTTAATATTAGGATGTCTCTCGAGTTTGCCCCGTCCTTCCAATAAGTTTATTATCTGATTAATTCCGAAAAAGGGAACAAGCTCTGGTATAAGCTTTCTTATTGACTTCGCACTAATGTAGATATTATAATATTGTCTAGATTTGTGTAGAGAACACTTACAGTTAAATTTGATGGTTAGAACATTTATAAGAAGTACTAGTTCTTGTACCGTAAAACTTTGAGTATTTAGAAGAACTCCACCCCCCTTTTGATAACTCCCATCCCCAGCAATTCAATGACTAAGACTTTCAATAGTTATAAGTTCATAAATATTGTTTGGAATTACCTTTACTCTATCTACATAAAATGCTTTATAAAGATCTGAAAAACAAGCAAGAGTTCTAGTTACTAGGACTACTTGGGGGTAAATCTTTCCTCTATATTTAGCCTTTGTAAATTTAGGATAAGAACTACAATAATGACTAATTTGAGTAAATACATCTCACATATAAGGAAAATGGGCTAGAGACTGTTTTAGACATATTCGTGGGAGACCTAGATCCTTTTGATAACGTCATTCTATTCAACTATCAGAAAGAAGAAGACCTACAAAAACTCCTCTTATTTGAGGTGTTAGTTCTACTATATGTCTCACGATAATCGTGTATCAAGGATAATTAACAGTACTACAAAGGTTTTTACCAAAAGGTACTAGAGCTGTACACTCAGTATTTTCAGGTATATAATTTATTTTAGCTCGGGGAAACTGTTCAATAAGATTAACAGATTTTATATAAGGCTTATTTTATCGTATGTCTATAAAATTATGAATATAGGCTGAATTAGAAGGATTGGCCGAATTCTTCTTGCTAAAGGAAGGTGACAGCCAAGAGAAAATCTTAATACCTGTAGGAACAGCAATGATTATTGTAGCAGCTGTGAAGTAGGCTCGTGTCAAATGGACTATATCTTCACCGTATTTTTTTTTTACACCATCAAAATGGTGTTTAAATTTTTCACCTAAATTAAATTTTTATTAACACGTGTGGTGTTAAAATGGTGTTAAATTTTTATTAGGGGTTTGGCGTGTAGTCTCTGAGGATCCCTGACCTTCAACTAGTTTAGTTATCTTGCTTTTAAGTACTCGAATTTTATTAAGGCCCTCTGGTGTTAGATGACTCTTACTTTGAATAAGAATTAGTGCCTTACGTCAATAAATATATCGGAGTCACTTACTGTTATTTATCAGATGATACTTATCGAAATAAAAAGCAACTGATTTAGCGCGATTAAAACTTACTGTTGAATATCGATAAACAGTGCTAGTGCCAGTTTTGTCCGTAGTCTGGTAAATAATACCACCTAGCGAGGTTTGAATAATAGATATAAGTTCTACATTCTTTTGAGTCATTCGAAAGGGAATAGTTACATTCACATTATTGCCTGTCTTACTCATTACTTCCACACCACCCTCGAGAGAATCCGAGAATATGTGGGAGCAATTCTTAGAAATAAAAATAGAAAACGAACCATTGGCATCCGCAAACCCTGCCAGCCAATAAGTCTGTAGAATATCTTCTGTCGAAGGTGGCAGAATAGGTGTATTAAACCTTTTCTCATAGGCCCTTTGTCTCACCAGATCTATGGCTATAAATTTACCGTTGACAAGGTTTCACACTTTTTCTACCCCTTTCCTGTGGAAAATAGACAGTTTAACCGCTTTTTTACCCTTAATCTTTGAAACCGAACCATATCCAATGATGTTTTTAATATAGTATGCATTAGCGGCATCGAATTCGTGAAAAACCATTTCAAATCCTTGCTCACCATTACTACTACCTCCACCCTCAATAAGTCCGGCTAGATAATAACCTAGATCGGTTTCGTTTTCAGGTCTTCTATGTTTCCCTATGTGTATGCTCACCTCTGACTTTTCTGTTACATCACTCTTAAACATTAGGTTTCCTGCTGATTGTTTCTTTACTATTGATTTTACACCACCGAGACAGAGTCGAGAGAATCCGAGCCCGTAGTTTATGGTGTTAAATACAAGACACTCTAGTTTGATTATTCCGATTTTTTGTTTAATTGACGGACATACTAGATTTAGAAAGTTCCCAGCATATAGCCAAATTATACTTAGTCACCTTACGGCGAAAAACGACACACAAGTATCTACGTCTAGCCCTACCGCGAACATGTGATGACTTCAAACCACGAATCCTAGTAGCCCAATGGACATTATAGCGTAAACTAT